CTGAACAGGGCAGGGGAATGTTTGTCCTTGCAGAATTGCTTTGTCCACAGGGTTTCTCTAGTGCCTGTCCTCTCTCCTCACCTACCTTGTCATTGGTGTGATAAGTACAGATTTTCCTGACTGTTTTCCCAGTTTCTCTGTTGGGAGAATTTACTCACTGGGGATTTTCTCTCTCTGAGCACCACAGCTCACACGGGGTGAATTTAGGGGATGTTACAGAGCCTGGCACAGACACATGGGGCAACATGGAACAGCCCAGAGCTCTCTGGAGAAAGAACAACTGCATGAACACTGAGCTGAGAAGAAAGAAAAGCAGGTACAGGCATTAAAACATGAATACACTTGTGACAAGATCCTCGTGTTTCCCAGAAATTACTGCAATTCATTTTGCACAGGCTGTAAGGATGAAGGGATGCTTTAACTGAAGCCTGGAAAGGAAGGCAGGAGCCAGGGGATTTGCCCAGATTTGTCCTGGAGTCCTAAGCATTTCTTGGTGATCTTGGTACCACCACATGTTTTTAAGACATAGCAGGACACAGCTGTAAATGCCAATATTAAAAGTCCTAAGCTAAGAGAAATTTATGGAAACTAAAATTTCCTGTTGTTTTGGTGCCCATGGAACAGAAGAATAATCAATAAATATGAAGCTACTATTATTCCCAGTGGAATCAATGCAGATTGGACACAAAAAATCCTTTTTTTTTTTTTTAAACTAGTGGGAAGTCTTGTGTGTACAGGATATACCCATGTACTATGTCAGCAACAAGTGTAGCTCTCATTTGCACCAGGAAAAGCCCACTGAGTCACAAACCCAGCCTCATGTGACAGTCTGACATTTGCCAGATGAAAGCAATTTATGAGGTCTCAGGTTCATGACAGTCTCAAGGCTCTGTTCTGACACGGGCCACAAGTGCTACTTAAATATGTCATTCCTCTGCACAGAGCTGCATTTTCTCTGTGAGGACACAGGGCTGTGCCAGCCCCAATTTCAGCTGGTACAATGGATTTTCTAGTGGCAGACACAACTCAAACCTCCTGCACATGAATGGAATTAATTGATCTTTTCTGTTGGGAGGCTGCTGTACTCCTTGAGCCAAGCTCTGCTTTAAGTCACAGCGTGAGGAGCCGTGCTGGATTTACTCCGGAGCTCTGCAGCACAGACTGCAGGGCTCCTCCTGTCCCCCAGGGAAGGTTAGTGAGCAGCAGCTCGGCTTGGCTCCTTATTGTCTTTGTTAATAACACTTCTAATGATTTGTGTTTGCATCTATTTTTGTGTCTCTTAACATACTTGTAAGACACTCAAGGCTGCCTTGGAAAGAACCCAAGCTCAGGAGAGGGGTGTATTTAAAACAGATGAACCCCTGGTTGCTGTAGGTATGTCATTGGTGTCCATTCAGTTTGCAGGAGTTTTTTTCTCCCTTTCCACAGTCAGAGGCAGCCTGTGGTGTGCCCAGCCCTCAGAGCACTGTAACAGAGAAGCACCATCCCTTCCTTTTGCAGAATCTCCAATTCTCCACTGAACAGCTTGTTCTCCACAAGAACATCACAAACACTGGGGCAAGCAGGGAAAGAAGAAAAGGTCATTCTGCAGCTGCAGGGTAAACTAAAACAACTATCTGATCTTAAGTTCCCTTTAGCCTGCCAACACTTCCCTCATCGTTTAGTGTACAACTCAAAATGTCCATACCTGCAAAACGTTTGAGATACAGCTTATTTAGATTCTGTGGAAAACAAAGGGAAAAACTCCCATCATAACACCTCCTATGGCAGCTCCTTGAAAGTCAGCTAGTGACCATAACCAAACCCTTCTCCTGCTCTCTGCTAGGATATTATTCTTCTCTGACTGGGTGTTCGGTGGCCATGAGCCACACGCTGGAGTCCCTCAGGCCTGATGGGTATGGAATTCCAACATCCATCATATTCTCACATCATTCACTGACCAGAGCCCCAGCACCTACTTCCCACAGCAGCATCCACAAGCAGGGTAACTCAGCACAAAGCCTTGGCAGTCAGGCTGCCACTATCAGCCAGAAAGTCCAGCTCAAGCCTGCTCAGCACTGAGACAAGGCTGCTTCACACACGGGTTCTCTGTCCATCCTGCTTATCAGGGAACAAAAACTGCACTCGACTCTTTGCCAGGCTGCAGGGAGTCAGAGGCCAGGCTCCTCTGGTTTTAACGGCTACAAGAGTGTGCATGGCCCAGCCATCTGCAGGATGTCCTTGTTGCCACCTGGGCCAGCACCACCTACTCTTTCACCGGACACCCAGGAGATTCAGCTGTCTCAGCTTCCTTTGTCAAGCTGCCCTTGGCACAGCAGCACTGCTTGCCTTCAGCTTTACAGTGAGAAGTCTGGGGAGGATGTGTCCCCAGCCCTGTGTGTCAGCATACTGGTGCTATACTGGTGTGCCAGGGGAGCTCCATGGTCTGAAACACCGCTTTAGGTGATGTTCGGTTTGTTTCTAGTTTTTTTTTTCCAAAACAATTGTTGGTCTCAACTACAGAAAAATAATGATATATCTATATATAAATACACGGCAGTTCTGTGAGCTGTTTTCATGCTGAGGAGCAAAATGAACATTTTAAAAGATCAGATCTGAAGAAATCTGAGTATTCTTAGCACATACAAATATCACCACTTTTTATATACCGTAACCTTATTTTCATTTAAAAAAAAAAAAATTTAAAAAATTCAGCCCTGGGCCACATTTCCTTGCTTAGGTCCCAGCACACCTTTCCATGGATTCCTGCCTTCCCTGGCTGAAGCTCTCCAGCACAGCCCTGTCTCCTGGGCCAGAGGGAAGGCTGCAGCTCGCGGGTGCTCCGCAGAGGATGCTCTGCCACGCAGCACTCAGGGAACCTCAGCAGAGTAGCGCTGCCACCAACTCCCTTGTTTAGAAAAGCTTGGGAATGTCACAACTTGTTATACCCTGGAATCCTTAAAACCCTGGGGAAGCAGTCATAACTTCTGCCTGAGGCGCCCCAGAGCTTCCACCAGCACCGGCAGCGTGAAATTAATGATGCAGCTGAGTCTGGGAGCGGTGGCATTTTATAGTGGGGAGAGGAAGCTCCACACACTGCCAGCTAATCCTGGAGAAGTAAATGAACTAGCTCACATTTGTCACAGGCTTTGAGATATTCCAAGGAAATGTTCCATAAAAGCCAACTTATTAAGTATTTCTGACAAAATATTGTTTTAATTAATCTCAGTCTTTGATTTTCTATTTGGGCTGCTCTCACAATGGCCCCTTGCTTGCTTTTACTGTAGGTGATGCGGGCTCACCCACACACAATTCCCAGAACCTATGGAGAATTATGTCACTGCAAGTTATTGATTGTGTTCCAACTTGGATTCTGCTTTGTACAGGCTCTAATTAATCCATATTCATACCATAAGGATTTCTCATCTGGCTGTGGTTTGATCAACCAGCAGAGAAATATAGAGCTCATATCAGTTACATTGGATCTCTCCAAGAGAAAGTGCTGCTCTCCAACAGCTTTGTGTCTAGGAAATACAGAGTCTAGGCTGTCATGAACTATTTAGATGGAAATAAATGTCACCATTAAAAAAAGAGGACCCAACAAACAAAAACATTCAAAACAAAAAACCCCAAACCAAAAAAAAAAAAAAAACCAAACCAAAAAACCCTCCCCAAAAAACCAGTTTAGTTAATATATTTCAGAAACATGTCTAAACTTTGTGCTTCATGAAAAAAAGGAAGATTTTTTGGATGAAATGCACTCAGAAGACAAGCCAAAGATAAGCAAAGAAAATAAAGAGATAAGAAGATAAGCAAAGAAAACCTGTCATTAAAGATGAGAGAATTTACATAGGCAAAGTTTTTGTGGTTTCAAGCCCAGTTAGTAGAAAAATAAAATGATGTAACCTAGGAAGAGGATTCTGTATTTCCCTCGTTTAGTTTACCCAGCATTTTCGTTGTGCTAATTTGTACTTTAATCAATTACACTGTTGAATAAGGCATTTGTCAAGTGGTATTCAAGTGGCATAAATAAAGCAGTTCAAGGTTTCTCTTGGAATCTAAATTCCTAGCAGGAATTTTTTCGGCAAAACCGCAGCTTCAAAATACACAGCAAGACACAGACTATCCTCTAGCTCAAGGAAAGACCCTGTGTATGTGTCACACTTACATTTTATATCAGGATTAATGCCTTTAATATTTTCCCCGTTTTCTCTGCTGAATCCCATCTACAGGGACAATTATTGTCGGTTTGTTTTTGTTTTTTTTTTTTTTACCTAGACTCACACAAGTTTTATTCCCATTTCACCCACTGAATTCTGTGCTGAACAATAATTACCAGCCCTGCAAAGCCATGTTTCGTCTCCTGGCACTGAGGAACGAAGCCACACTTCCACACCAAGCTGCGATTAGCTCTCCAGGGACACAGTTTTCTTTACCTTCCAATTCTCGTGGCTCCCCTCCCTCTTCCTCCTTACCGCGGCGATTTTCAAACAATAAACGCGTGTGGGTTTAATTTACACCTTTTCTTACACCTTCCCTTTTTAGGGGCGCACAGGGCATGCTCTTCCACCGCTTCTGCGCTCCCTCATATGGAGTTCTCTCCCCCATTCCAGCGGGGAACGGGACAGCGCCTCGCCCCGTCTCTGGCTGCCCGGGCGGGACCAGGCGAGGGGCGCGCGGCTCCGGCGGCTGGGGAAGCGCCCAGGGGCTCGGGATAAACCGGGATGCGAGCGGGATAAACCGGGAAGCGCTCCGGGCAGCGGCGTGGCTGCCGATGGGCTCGGGATAAACCGGGATGCAGGGAAGAACTCCGGGCAGCGGCTGCTGAGGGGCTCAGGATAAACCGGGACCCAGGGAAGCGCTCCGGGCAGCGGCGCAGCTGCCGAGGGGCTCGGGATAAACCGGGATGCAGGGAAGCGCTCCGGGGGCTCGGGATGAACTGGGATGCAGGGAAATGCTCCAGCAGCACACGGCTGCCGAGGGGCTCGGGATAAGCCGGGATGCAGGGAAGCGCTGCGGGACACGGCCGCGCCGGCCATGGAGCCCTCGCCCAAAGACGGCGAGAGCGCGGCGGCCGCCGAGCCCAGCCGGGGCGGCTCGGCCCCGTCCAGCGGCGTGGTGGTGCAGGTCCGGGAGAAGAAGGGCCCCCTGCGCGCCGCCATCCCCTACATGCCCTTCCCCGTGGCCGTCATCTGCCTCTTCCTCAACACCTTCGTGCCGGGGCTGGGTAAGGATGCTGCGGGAGGGAGCGAGGGAAGGCGGCCGGGGCTCGGGGTCCCTCTCCGCACCTGCGCCGGGATGCGGGCGGGCTCCAGCGGCGCGAGGGGCGGGCGGAGGGCGGCTGCTTCGCCCCGCCGGGGCCGCTCGGGCTGCCGGACCCGCCGTGGCCGCAACTTTCCCTTTCCCCGACGGCCCCGCGGGGAGGGATGGAGGAACGGAGGGATGGAGGAACGGAGGGATGGAGGGAGGCAGGAGCTCCTGCGCCAAGTTTCGCGTCGGGGGTCGGGGCAGCGCCCTGCGGGGTCCGCAGGGATCGCACCCAGCGGAGCGGGCGAGGGTCGCGCTCCGAGCCCAGCCGGGGCGGCTCGGCCCCGTCCAGCGGCGTGGTGGTGCAGGTCCGGGAGAAGAAGGGCCCCCTGCGCGCCGCCATCCCCTACATGCCCTTCCCCGTGGCCGTCATCTGCCTCTTCCTCAACACCTTCGTGCCGGGGCTGGGTAAGGATGCTGCGGGAGGGAGCGAGGGAAGGCGGCCGGGGCTCGGGGTCCCTCTCCGCACCTGCCGGGGCCGCTCGGGCTGCCGGACCCGCCGCGGCCGCAACTTTCCCTTTCCCCGACGGCCCCGCGGGGAGGAATGGAGGAACGGAGGGATGGAGGAACGGAGGGATGGAGGGAGGCAGGAGCCCCTACGCCAAGTTTCGCGTCGGGGGTCGGGGCAGCGCCCTGCGGGGTCCGCAGGGATCGCACCCAGCGGAGCGGGCGAGGGTCGCGCTCCCCTCGGCGGGCAGCGGGGCCGGGGCGGCCGGCTGGCCCCGCTCGGCGGGCACGGGCGGTCCCCGGGACACAGCAGGCACATCCCGCACTCCGAGCCCGCCGTTCTCGCCGGGCGGTGCGGAAGGGATTCCGCTCTTCGGACTCTCGGCAACTGTGATTGCGGTCAGAGGATCAAACTCACGGTGACCACATCGCTCGCTAGCTAGAGACGAGCTTTCAGAGCCCACCGTGCCGGGTTTTCTAAGGAGACCCCTGGAAAATGTTAGAGCCATTGTCCAGAGAAACTGGGGATTCAGTTTCTCAGCGTGACGTCTCTAGTGTGCTCAGGTCCCTAAGATGTTGATGCATCCTTTTTATATTTCCATTTCTTCCACTCGAATTAGGAATTGCTTACTGCAAGAGGAGCTTAGAGTTTGAACACTACAAAAGCCCCTGGAATACAAGGCTAAATACAAACATTTGAGCTGAAAGTGAAATAACCACATTAATAAAAAAACCAAACCCAAACAAAATAATCCATGACTCATTAACCCATACCTCAAGTCTCTCATAGTCCATTTCTGGCTGCTGTTTCTGCTGCTGTGGCCACCACAAAAGCCTTCCTTGTGATATGGGGAGTATCCTCCCCCTAGCCCTACTTTCAAAGAGCTACTGCCTGCCTTTAATTGCTTCATGTGCTTCAGGTGGCTTAATTCTTTAACAAGTCTGAAATACTTAAAGTTCTGATTAAAGTACTATGCATGTGTGGGTGGGATAGTGTGTGCAACACGTAGGAGCCATTGCTACTCCAGCGTGCTTGCTCTGAACCTGGGGATGTGTTCCAGAGGAAAACTTGCCCCTTTTGCAATACCTCTGAGTTTTCCTGTGGAAGGACTGGTGTGTGTGAGAGCTTCCAGGTGCAATGCACTGTGCTTGGGTGTTGTTTGCACAGCTCTTGTGTGCAGCCACCTGAAGAACCTCGGGTGATGAATCAAGGACAATCTCTGGAGCTAAGTTCTCTCACGGGGCTTTAGGTTTCCTGGGGCTTAGTTTCCCACTTTAGAGAGAGAAGTTCAAAACCAGAGCTTTCAAAGCAAGTGTTGTTTTCTGTGGGCATTGAAGACACCACATCTTCAGTGTGAACATACAGAAAAAAAAGCCTGACTTACCACCTCTTTTTCCTTATCCAAATTATCTGACACTTCACAAAGCACACTAGAAAACCCTCCTTGTTCTGCCTTCATCCCAGAAGGACAGTTCCCCATGAGACATCCTTATGTTGAAAGTGGCTTGAAGTGTGGTTCTGTGCTGGAGTTCTCCTCTGGGTGCTGCTGGGGGTAGCCAGTGTTGTGCCTTCCCTCAGAACAGAAGGTGCCTGGGGAGGAAGGACAGATTGCCCTCCCTTCCTGAAGGTGAGTGTTCGGGGCTCACGCTCCATGCTGGTTGAAAGCCTGGGAGTTGAATCTGGACTATGCAGCTGTGTTGGTTGTGGCAGGCTGGACCAGCACGAAATGGTTTTTAATTTTATTTTCAATTCTATTTGGTTTTTTTTAATTTGTTTGCCCTTTGATGCAGAGATTTCAGCGGTACGGTCTGGCCGGCTGTGCCGCTGCTTCTCCTGGTGCCCTGCTGCAGAAGTAGCAAACCAAACAAACTACAGATGAAAAGGAATCCTTCCCTGTGGCATCCCCACAGCCTGGCAAAATGCAGTGATTTGGAGATGCATCCCAAGCTCAGTATGCAAAGCGTGGCATTTAGTTTGTACATAAATGAACCGTTCTGTTAATGAAGCTGCTAATATCACGTGCATTTTGAGAGAAAACTTACTCTGAGATGACACACCTGACTAGAATACAGCTATTTACAATCTCAGCCACATCCTGTCATGTATCACATAGCCCACACAGGAGGGGAAACAGGAGGATCACGAATCTACTGGCAGGAATGTTCAAGGTAAAAAGAGATTTTCTGTCATTGTTGTGCTTCAGCCATCTAAAAGAGCTGAGCAATGCTTGTAAAACAGATAAGATTTGCAGTGGTGTGAAGCAGTCACATCAAGGATGTGAGCCTGTTCCCTGCAAAGTAAATGGCAAAATTCCCATCAGTTCTTGTGGTCCAGATTTATAACATGTTGAAGTGATGTTTCACAGGCTCGCTGTGTATTTCTGCCTGCTTAGCTGGAGAGTGTGACTGTGTTTAGGTGTTAATGGAAGTCCTCTATTTCTCAGTCCCTAAATTCATCCCTCATCTGTTCTGCATGTAGTTTTCATTTGAGTGTAGACTCTGCAATAGCAAAGAAGGGTCAGAGACCACCGGAGTAGGCAAGAAAATGGGCAACATTGAATTAATCAAGATTTCCACTGCTTGGAGACTGGTGCATTTGAGGTTCTCATTAGTGCCCCGTGCCTCAGAGCAGTGATATCCAAATAGAAATTGCACTCTGATGCAGGCTTCCAAATCCTTGGGCAGGCTCTCACCATCTGAAAGCCTCTTCTTTTTAGTTAAATTGTCATTTCTCTGTTCTGGAAGTCACCTTTGAGGGTGACATCTGAAAATTTTAAATATCTGGTTTATTTTCCCTTTGTGCTATTTATGTTCAGCAGTAGTACTCTATTTGGACAGTAGAAGTAACACTTTCTCTTTGTTTACAGTCAGTTTATTATCTTCACTTGGTTAATTTTCAGAGTTTTATGTAACAACCCAGAACTGCAGGTTTTAAGGTGCATTGTAAACTGCGTTTTAACTACTCATTCCACACATGCTACAAAAGATGTAGTTCACAGGAATTTTTTCATACATAGGGGATACGGACTTTTCTCTTGCCAAAACTTAAAATTCAGACCAAATACAGTGTAAAAAATCTTGATTAGCCCATCTACTTGTAATCCATCGTGCCGAATAGCCTTGAAATCACACATTCCTTCCAGTCACTGTGATGGAAATGTTCTGGATCAGTTTCCTATTGTATTTGCAGGGAAGCCCCGGCGAAGGCAGGGATGATGCATCTGACTCCGTGTTCTCAGAAGGCTAATTATTACTTTATGATACTATATTATATTAAAGAATACTATACTATACTAAAGAATACAGAAAAGATACTTACTCAATGCTAAAAAGATAATAATGAAACTCGTGACTCTTTCCAGAGTCTCAGCACAGCTTGGCCTCAATTGGCCAAAGAGTCAAAACAACTCACAGCAGAATCCAGTGAAACAATCACCTGTGGGTAAACAATCTCCAAACACATCCCACACATGAGCACAACACAGGAGAAGCAAATGAGATAAGAATTGTTTCCCTTTTCTCTGAGGCCTCTCTCGCTGCTTTTCAGCTTCCCAGGAGAAAAACCCTGGGCGAAGGGATTTTTTCAGAGGATGTGAATGCCGCAGGGAATGTTCTGGATCAGTTTCCCATGGCCCAGTGCACTCTTTCTCTTCTGTGCCTAACAGGGCTGTAGGGCTGAGCTGCAGTGAAGGTGTCCCAGGCTCAGGCTCCTAAAAAGAGTGGGCAGGAAGAAGAGGCAGAGGAGTCAGCGGGTGCTGTGGCAAAAGCCATCGTGCCTTGGCTACCAACGCTCCAGCTCTGCCACAGGCATTGCAACCTCTGCTCTGGCTTTGGGTTTCTGCAGCAGGCTCCGAGGCACCGGGGCCAAACCGTGCAGTGATGAGCTCTGCAGAGTGGGAGATGCAGCTGTCAGCATGGCTGGAGGGTGCCCAGCGCTGCCATTCCCACGGGATTGGGCGCTGTGCCCCTGCCGCCTGTCCGCGCCGCAGATGGCAAACGGGAGAAGGGCTGGCCGTGCCCTTTAGCTGGCAGACTGTGTTCTCCTGGAGCTGCTGCCGTGTGCCAGTCAGCGTGGGAGGAGATCTGGCTCCTTCTCATTCCCGGAGCTGATCCATGGGAATCTTGCCCTCCTTCCTCTCTGCTCTTCCTTCTCCCGACATCACGTGTGTGGGAGGGGGGTAAACGAAGGGGGGGAACTTGAGGGAAATGTGAGAAGTGAGGGAAATTATCTGAAAGTCTGAGGTATTCTCCAAGATTAATCCCTCCTGTCAGGAAGGGGGTGGACTTTTGGATCCCAGCCTGCGTGATACGTGAATACTATTTTTATGCAGGGAGTAATTGAAATACGGAGCATAAAATGATGTCGGTGCAAGATGGGAGAGCAGCCACCCATGTGCCACCAAGTAGCCCGTGGAGGAGTTCAGGAGTGCCAGCCTCTCACAGCAGCTACAGAAAGAAGGGGTGATTCCCAGCCCACTCAGCTTTTTGCTTCCAGGGCTCCACAGTGCAGCTCTCCTGTTCCCGGGTGTGTCGGCTCCGTATCACGAGTCTTCTGCCATCTGTCTGTTCGCTCTTGACAGAGTTCAAGCACTGCACCTTCAGCTCTGGGAATGTGGCTTTGCCACTGGGTTCATAGCAGCCAAGCATCTTCTCATTAGAAACCGAGGCTCTCCTGAGCAGAATGAGCTCTCCAAAGAGCTGAACAGAAGTGCAGAACACAACACTCGAGAAACTTGATGGGATGAGATCTACATAACGTTACCCATACTCACTTTATTTTTGTGGTTGGAATGGTAAATAGATGCCTCAAGCAAACATCCATTGCCTTCACTATTGAAAGAAGGGATTTCAAGGAAAAACCACATTTTCTTATCTACGGTAGAGCAAACAGTATAATAAAGAAATTTGGGTTTTCAGACATATAAAATCTCAAAAGCCCTTTGGTATTTATGATCCTTTAA